TGAAACCATGTGAGCACTTCTCCTTAACGTCCATCTTCTTTGCTACTTGGGTAGGAATGAGCACAGATTCAACAGAGGAAATTAGAAATAGGATTAGGGATTGAACTCGGGCCTTAGATCCTTCCCTATCTACTTCAAGACTATCAGAGCCATTGAAGTCAACAGACTTACAACTATGCATTCACTCGTTTGTGAACACGGGGATTGAGCTTATATGGTAAGAGCTGTGTGTGCTGCGTCTAGTAGATGACATAGTCACCGACATGGGGTTCACAGCTGGGAGAGATATGTGCCTAGCCGTGAAGTTCAGCCCATTGTAGGTGGCAAGGGCTGGAGCTGTTGGCTAGCGGTGTGATCTTGAGCAAATGTATGGTTACTGACTCCCAGTTCCTTCCTCTAAACTGGAGATGAGGACAGGATTAGGCTAGAAGCTAATGGATGCACTTAGTGCTCTGCAACCACGTCCTGGAGAGGCGAGCCCATTTTACAGCCGGAGAGTACAGTCCTGGAGGTAGGGGACTCTCCCAGGCACGCAGGCGGGGAGGCTGAGATGGGCGGGAACCTGAGCCGGAGCCGGGAGGAGCCTGGATCTGAGCACCACCTCCCCCGCAGGTACCTGCGCGCCCTGTATTTGGGGCTACAGAGCCGCTGGCGCGGGGAACGGCTGCGGCGCCACTTCTACTGGAGGATGCTGTTTGAGAGCGCGGATGTGAGCATGCTGCGTCTGCTGGAGACCTTCCTGCGCAGCGCACCGCAGCTGGTGCTGCAGCTCAGCCTGCTGGTCCACCGTGGCCTGGAGCCAGACCTGCTGACTGGTGAGCCCCGTCAGCCACGTGCTGGTCCCTGGGGATACCCTGCGTTTTCCGCCCCAAAGGCCGACCTGCCTGGACAGGGTTTAGGGAACCACATGCCCTCACTACCCTCGAGGCCTCTCTAGACCTCCACTCCCTTCTGACTTGTCTCTTCCACTCTGACACCACCCCTCAGTTACCCTGGGCTCTCTTTCCCTTCCCTATTGCCAGAGCAGACTATATCTTGCTTCTGCCTGTTGCTTCCTCTCACATCCTCTGGAGACCTGCCCAATCACCATCAGTTTTCAAAGACTCTGTCTACCTATCCCTTCGCTGAATGTCCTGGTCTCCTCCCTTAAACCAAGTCCTGTTCATCCAACTTTGCCCTTTCTGAAACACTCCAGTCAGTGTCACAGAAAAGCGGCATCACCATCTGGGAAACTCTACGTATCTTCCCACCCACACCCTGCCAAACCCACCCTCAGTGTCCCAAGACTTCATCACTAGTCCCCAGGCCCGCTGGGGACGGCTTTTGCCCTCTCCAGCCCCGAATTCAGGGACTCACATGGGATCCACCTCCCTAGCTCTGCTTAGCTCTAGTTATCCCTGCATACCCAGCTCGCATCTTCTGATGGGTCTCCTGACTCCTCCCTGACCTCGTGATCCCTTCTTGACCTCCTCTTCTACTCCCAGAGTCCTGGACCCCAATTTCCTACTCTCCACCAAGACCCCTGAACCTTGTCTACTCCATACTAGAATCCTAGACTTGATGGAGATCAAAATCACCCCGAATCTGTTTCCCTTTATGCTTCCATGCCCACAGAAGGATCCCACTCGTTCCCCAGCCCCAGCCCATATCCTTGCCCTTGAGGACCCCCAATCAGACCTTCCTCATATCTGATCCTCAGGCCATTCCCTCACACCTCCTCAGAACCCAGGACCTGACCCAAAACCTCCTCTCCAGACCCAACCTGGACCCACCCCTAACCCAGCCCACCCCATCCCTACCCTGTCTCCACAGCCCTCTCCATCTCCGCCTCCCTTGTGTCCCTGGCCTGGACACTGGCATCCTACCAGAAGGTGCTGAGAGACTCAAGAGATGACAAGCGGCCCCTGTCCTACAAGGGTGCTGTAGCCCAAGTGCTGTGGCACCTGTTCACCATTGCAGCCCGAACCCTGGCTTTTGCCCTCTTTGCCAGCGTCTACAAGCTCTACTTTGGCATTTTCATTGTTGCCCACTGGTGCATCATGACCTTCTGGGTTATCCAGGGTGAGACAGACTTCTGCATGTCCAAGTGGGAAGAGATCATCTACAATATGGTGGTGGGTATCATTTACATCTTTTGCTGGTTCAACGTCAAGGACGGCCGCAGCCGCCACCGTGTCACCCTCTACTACTGTATCGTACTGCTAGAGAACGCAGCGCTCACTGGCTTCTGGTACTCCAGCCGAAACTTCTCCACCGACTTCTACTCACTCATCCTGGTCTGTGTGGTGGCCTCCAGCTTTGCACTGGGCATATTCTTTATGTGTGTCTATTACTGTCTCCTGCACCCCAATGGGCCCATGCTGGGGCCCCAGGCACCTGGCTGCATCTTCCCCGAAGCCCCGGGGCCCTGTGCTCCTCCAGCTGATGCCATCACAAGTCCACCAAGATCTCTGCCAAGGACTACAGGCACTGAGCGGGATGGGGCCTCAGTGGGAGGAGAGCGAGCTGGGACCCCTACGCCACCTGTCTTCCAGGTGCGACCTGGTTTGCCTCCCACGCCAGTGGCTCGCCCCTTGCGGACAGAGGGGCCCGTCATTCGGATTGACTTGCCTCGAAAAAAGTACCCAGCATGGGATGCTCATTTTATTGACCGCCGGCTCCGGAAGACCATTCTGGCTTTGGAGTATTCTTCACCTGCCACACCCAGGTTGCAATACCGGAGCATAGGCGCCTCCCAGGAGCTGCTGGAGTATGAGACCACAGTGTAGGCAGTCTGCCTCCCAAAAGGGACAGGGTTGGCTGACCCCACATTGACCACAGTGTTGAGTCTGGATTTCAGGGCCACCAGGCTAAGTGGGAGTAGATCTTTGGATCCAAGAATGGCCCCACTTTGGGGTTCTCCTAGGGGAGAGGGCAGCCCTGTGGAGGTCCTAGGCCTCATTTTTAGCCCTATGGCCCATTCCCTAAGTTTCCTTGGACCAGGGCACAGGGCGTCAACTGGTGCTACCCCCTCATGAACTGTGCCACTCTCATGGGGATGCCATATTATGCTTGGCACAAGGGTCTTCACCTTTCCCCTGCCTAGAATCATCACACATCACCCCTGGTGGGCTACCAGAGAAAAGGCAATGCCCGGGGCCAGGGCACCCCTAGGGAGTGTTGGGAAGGGCTGCCTTGTGATAGGTGGGGATCCCTGAGAGAAGATGGAAAAGGCTGTGGAGGGTGTAGGTTGAATTGAGGGAATCTCTGGACAGATTTGGCACAGTTCCTGTAGGAAGAGGAACTGGACAACAGAAGAATTAGAGCAGGGAGTTGGGGAGGGAACCAACTGGAGATCTGACAGTGCAGACATTGGCAGGATAAAGAACCCTGAGAGGTGAGGGAAGACAGCAGTATGTAGGGGGTACAAGTGTGAGGTGGGGTGCCTTTGCTCGGGAGGAGCACTTGGTTGGGAGCTCTGTTATGGTCTAGAGCCCCCAGGTGAGAGGTCACAAGGTGCTGTTTGTTCTAGACGTGCATCTGAGATGTCCCTTGAAGACAAAGTTCCTAAGCACAGCAGATAAAACGTCTGGGAAATATTCTGTCTGGCTCAACTGTAGACAAGGCTCTAGCACACTGAGAGAGGGCCTGTTGGGGAGATGTCTTAGTACTAGAATACCTCTTGATAAGATGTCCTAGGGAGCTGCTGATCTTTTATAAGGATCAAGGACATTGGAAGCCCCCTGCTCTGATGTGGATGATTCTAGCTTCTCCCGTGGGCAGTGGGGAAGGGGATGTGGAAACATGGACCACATGGGATATTCTAGAACGAGTGTTCTAGTTCTAGGCTGCCAGGGTTTATGGGAGTTCTAGATCCTCCTCCATGTCCCCAGCCCTATCGTCTCTAAAAGGAAACTGTCCTCAGAACCCTTGAGACATTTCTGCTGCCAAGTGGTTCTCAGCTGGAAAAACATAGCTCTGGGGACGTGACATAAATCTTGGGTTCCTGCCACCCCACAGCTGAGGTTCTCTGGGGTGGCGTCTAGGAAACTGACTTGTTTTGTCTCAAATCTGACAAGGCCCCAGGCCTATGACCCATTCCCATGGTCCAGACATCCTGGGTTGCACAAGGGACCATCATCCTGGGATGTGCCCCGGCCTGGGACAGCCCATCTTGATTGGGGCACATTATGTGCAGGATTACGGGACTGGGGAGCTCGGCAGCTCTGTAAAGTAGAAACTAGTGCTCTAGACAAGGCCTAGAGTCTCTTGTCACTCCCCTAGGCCAGCTGAGGTGAGCTCACCAGAAGGGGACAGCCAGGGACTTTGGGAACAAAGTATAGATTGGACTGGAAAGTGTGGAGGCTATCAGAATCCTAGACTATGCAAATAAGAAGATTATTTAGACCTCCCTGGCTCAGCATCTCTTAAGAGATATAGACAGAAAACTGAAGCCCAGCATAGTAGCTACTCTCACAAGGCCCTGAACTCCTGACTGTCCCATCAGTGATGATGTGGCAATGATTGATTTGCTAAGGATGCTTGGAGGCAGCTACACCCAGGGTGAGACTGAGTGGACACACTGCGTGTATGCACACACAAGCACACATCACATCCCGGATGCGAGCCACCCTGCCTGGTACCATGGGTAGCTGCATTCATTCTGCCAATGCAGAATGCTTTTTCTTCCCTCTGCTTCCCTGAACCTCAAGAGGCCTCCAGAGTGACAGATAGCTCCATCCTGACCCAGGCCTACTCTGAGGAGTCATCCATTCTCTTTTCCCTCTACCCAGAGCTAGCTTTGGAGACTAGTTCTGTGGCCAGCTATATACCTGTCACAATCTCTGTAACATAGAGCATTGAGGATGGGCCCCAAACCCAAGCACCATGATTCTGCAGGCCTCATGGTGCCAGGGATAGTCACTCCATTGTCCCCCTTGTGTGGCACCCCTACAAAAGCTATACCTCCATCCCACACATCAGCATGGTGACGCTGGGATACCTTTGGCAAGTTATTTTAACTTCCACCCGCCCCCAAGTCCCTAGAATGGCTCCATGGAAGCCCCATTCTCCAGCAGCCTAGAAGGAAAGCTTTCAGATCCCTTAGCTGATTGCTGCAGGAGGCCAGGGCAGGCAAGGCAATAGGATGAGCAGAACCGGGCATGGCCTGAGGCTGCAGGGAAACCATGGTCACATTTTTCATCCTAATCGCACAGAGCTTTCCCCAGGACCCCTGCCTGCAAGGAGATTTGAGCATCGGGAAAGGTCGTGGTCAGAGGACCCTCATCCTTCTCACCATCTGGACAGAGCCCATATCCCCCAAGTATTAGCCCCTCCCCCCCAGCTCAGGACTCCATCCTTCCTGGCCTGAGGCCTCTCTCCTTATTGTCCTGTGTTTTTGCTTCACAAGGACAAAAGAATCAGAATGGGGAAGGACCCCCCCCATCTTCTTGGAGCTGTTTTTTGGTTCCTTTCTTTGACACAATCTACCTCAGCTGGTCTCTTTCCCCTACCACAACTGCACCCCTGGGGTCCTCCACTCCTATCCCCAGACCATTAGCCAAGTCTGGATTCTTAGTTCTTCCCAGGACCCCTGTAAGGTTCTTGCAGTGAGAGAGAACTTTAGTTCACAGCCTTGAAGGAAGAGCTCCCAAAGTCACCTATGCTTCTTATCCATTATAAAGAAGAAACAGAGAGGACCACGCATTTGCCCAAAGTCACACATCAAGAACTCTGGCTTTCCTGGGCATCAGTAAAGTTAGTTAGATGTCTTAACTTCTTCAGGAGCAGCAGATAATGGGGCATCTTGGGAATAGAAATGTCAGACCCTCCCTTCCTAACATAGAACCCTCCCTGCCTCCTATTCCGTGAGCTTCCACCCTCAAATCAACTCCAGCTGCTGGCTATGCTCCTTAAAGCTCCCCAGGCACCATGCACCCCTTACTGTACCTGTAATCATCCATGTACCATGTGCCTTGTAACGGTCACCCCAGCCGACAGCACAGGCCTCCACCCTGTCCTGCAGGGACTGTCGAAAACTGTGGGCTTGGTCCCTTCCTCTCATCTTCCCCAAATCTGCCTTACTCTCAGCTGGATCCCTCCTGCACTTGTGTCTCCCTGAAGTGTATCACCCCAGGGCTGGAGAAGCAGAAGCCCAGGAGGGCAAGGCTGAAAATGTGCAGGTTTCCAGATGAGAACATGGGGGGCTTGGGACCATCATCCCCAAACACTTCCCTGAAGACTAAGGTTCTGCAAGTCCCTCCCTTGAAGCTTACCTGGGGCTGGAGTCTCCAAAGGCTGGACAGTAAGGAAAGGTTCACTGAGGCAGGGCACATGGCTATAAACTCAGATACCACCAGAAAGGAAAGTGGGGTAGTGGAGGTTCAAGAAAGCAGAACTGGGGGGACAGACAAAAGGAAGGTTTCCGGTGCCAATGAGCAATGAGGTTTAGGTATTGGAAAACAACCTACTGGCCACCAGTTTGAGACTGCAAATGCATCAGCCCCTCCAGGGATGTCAGGAACCTCTGGGACTTGGCTTGGTCTAACCCTAAATCTCATCCTGGTTGTCCAGAAGACTTCAGGTCCCTGGTTGTTGCCAGCATCTGATAAGGGGTCCCTTATGTGCCTCAGCAGGTTGCTTAGGACCTGGAGTCTTTTCCAGTTTAGGGCCTCCTGATTCAGAGGTAATCTATCCAAATAGAGGGAGGGTTTAGGCACAGGTTGCTAACTGAATGTCAGGACCCCTCATCCCATCCCATGCTGGCCCACAACTCTTGGGCATATGCCTTAGTCTATGCCTAGACTAAGCCTGGGTGAGGCTGAAGGAGGGAAACTGAAATCTATAGGCTTCAAAGGAAGGGGTGTTGCCATGGAAGGGACAAGGTGAGTGCCAATCCCCAGAGGAGGCATGGGGTAGGGGTCCGAGTCCCCATTCTGGATGAGGACACTTCTGAGGCTTTGGGCTTAGGGAAATGGAACATGTGTGCCATGCTGGGTTAGGACACTGAGTTCTTGGTTGCTACCAGGAGATGCAAGGAGAGGAAGAACTGAACCAGGGCCCTGCAGGGGCCAGGGCAAGGAGAGTCCACTCCAACCAGGTCTGACTCCCATGCTCAGCCCCTTCCACTGGAACCTCACCCCGAGGCCACCCGCTCCTCAGCACCTCTGGCCTTTATTCTATGCACAACTCTTTAAGAGTCCCCAGGCCAGGCTGGATGGTGGGAGCCCAGGATAGCTGCAATAATCTCATAGTGGAGGGGGTCTTGGGACAAAGAGGGAGTGAGGATAGCCACAAGAGGGAAGAGGGAATTCCTTTCCCTCCCTTCTCCCAAGCATCAGAATCCAGTCAGACCTAATAGGACTCGCTCTCCTTGCCCTCCTCCTGTCTGATTTCGAAACCAGACATAAGAAGGGGTCCAAACCATCCCCAGAGCCCTCAGGATGCCCCAAGGATTTTGTGGCTTGAGAAGTTGTTTTGGTTTTCCTCCCAAAAGGCTTTTTATAAATAAAGCATTTTGCTATCTTAGATTAAAGCTGAATGGGTAGCAGATATATCCTGGTGAGGACTCCTGTCAGCTTCCAGCACTCAAATGTGAAGGACTTCTGCATTCTGTATTGGATGGCTTAATGCAGAATCCTCAAGAATACTCATGGGTGGCAGGCCCTGACTCTGCGGATCCTTGGGTGGGGCCTGGGACCTCCACATTGGCATCGGTGGTTTAATTATCTAGTTACTTCTTAGTTTACAGATGGGGCAGGCCCAGAGATGGGAGGCAATCTGCCCAAGC